CCTTGAAGGTGTTTAGTCGTTGGAGACTCAGTCTGCTCACATTGCTCTCAGACTCGGGAAAACCTTTTTGGTTTGTTATTGATGCAGTATGTGTACGTTTTATAACTAGAGCATAACTTGCTGGTTTTTTGAAGAGCTTGTGGATTAAAAACTAGAAGCCCTTTCTAAGGCCTTATTTTCTCTTAGGCCCCATCCTGCAGCCTGGCTGTGCTGCCATGTTCATGTGCCTGACCTTGATTATCTGGTCCAAGGATATTTCTTGGAATTGTGGATCTGCCCCAACTGATCCTTCTATCCGCCAACATATGGAGGCCCTGTTCTTCTGTGCTCTACTACTAGCGGGGTATTCTTTACCAAATATATAGGATGTGCTCCCTTTTGGTACTCTGGGACTCAAATGTTGGTCTGTGGAGCATCTGTACAAGAAATGCCTCTTGTGTATGCCCTCAAGGAGGTTGCTGGGGGAAGAGTTTTTATTTTTCCCTATAACCAAGGCAGAATGTCACTCTATGAAAACCTCTGATGGTTCCTTACCCTCCCCTCAGGTTTCCAAATCCAAGACAAAGCCTAGAACTCCATTCCTCTGCTAATCCAGATGCCAAATCCACCAATTTGACAAATAAGTCCTTCTCACAATAAGGGGGCACCACGACTTGTCATGTTGGGGATGTTGGTTGGCCTTTGCAGCCATTTGCTCCCAAAATATTTACAGATGTTTGGATCGAGCAAGTTGTATCGAGAGGCTACAAGCTAGAATTTCCTTATCTGCCTCCACCCTGCTCCATGTTGTCTAACTTGCTAGCATGCCTGCAAAGATTTGTGGACTCCACACTGCACTGACATAGCTCCTCTTTCAAGGGTCATTGCCATTGTTCTAGAAAGGGAAAGGTTTAAGTTTTCTAATCAAACCTGCTCGCCATCCTCATGGCCACCAATTTCCAGGTATAAAAAAATTCAGCATTGATTTAATTAGGCTAGCCATTCAGGAGACCTTCTGACCTCTATGGATATCAAAGATACCTACATGCATGTTCCTATTTTCCCAGCACATTAAAGCGATACTAAATGCTCAATTTTATTTTCTAAATAACAAACATATCTATGCATACCTGCTCTTTGCAGTGGTTTTGCACAGAGCAGCCTAGATCCTCCTCTTCTATGGCCCCCCACTGCCGCTCTTGGCCCCTCCCTCCTGTCCCCCCAGCAAACAGCTTGCTATGGGGGCACCCGAGCAGGCATGCTCCCGAGACGCTGCCCTGTGTGTCTAGTCACAAATGGAGCCATGGCTCAGTCCCCCGCTCCCTCGCTCTCCTCATTGGCTCACTGGATGTGATTGACCGCTGCTGTCTCAGCCGACAGTGGGGGAGAGTCCCCAGCTCTCATGCACGTCGCTGGATCGCAATGGGGCTCAGGTGAGTATTAGGGGGAGTGCTTCAATCAGAAGGTTTATTACCTTTGTGCATGAAGGTAAAAAACATTGAGCCTTTACAATCACTTTAATGCTGCCTACATTTTGCACCTAAAGGACAATATCCAGACTGTCTCCTCTCACGTCTGGCCTACATTTTGGCAGTGTGGGACAAGCTTGTTTGGTCTCTGGGCCGTTGGATATGCCTGACCCACAAAATCAGGATTATGAGTCAAGCTCTGGAGGTAACTCGTCCTTCCACTAGTTTGGAAGGTTCTTACAACATATGCTAACCTGTTGGGCTGGGGTAGAGTCCTGTGTACACTTTTAGTGCAAGAGTTGTGTTTGTGGGAGGAAGCTAGTCTCCCAAACAATATTCCAGAGCTCAGAGTGATTTAGATATTCCTTCAGAGCTAGAACTCTCAGTTGTAAGGTCATCCGACCAGGATGCAGTTAGACCGTGTCACAGCAGTGGCTTACATCAGTCATTGGGGAGGAACCAGAAGTTTTGCAGAAATCCAGTAGCCTTTGCAGTAGATGCTCTGGTGACTCGGTGAGTTCAATTCAGCCTTATCCACACCTTTCCTTCTGCAAAACTTCAGGATTGAGATGGAGAAAGACCTTTGGATTCCCATGTCACTTAACTAGATCTGGTACTCAAGCTTGATGAGGCTCCTGGTATTCTGTCTGTGGACCTTCACATTGTCCAGATCTTCTGTCCTAAGAACTGGTTTACCACCCTACTTTGCGGTCACAGGCTTTAATGCCTGGCTGTTGAAACCCTGGTCCTGAGGGATATGGCCTTGTCTGATTACCCTGTGATTTCGAAAGCTAGCAATCTGACTTCCAGAAAGTTTACTCTTGCGCATGTAAGGTATATTTCATATAATGTGAAACAAGGAAATTCCATCTCAAAAGTTACTCAGTTGACCAAATCCTGCCTTTTCTCCAGTCAGGTCTGGATTGACATTTGACCTGGAGTACCCTCAAAGTGCCGTTCCTTTTCAAAGACTGCTTGCCTCACTCCTTAAAGCTGAATTCCAACTTTCTTTTCATTAGAAATAAATGTACCTATCAATCCCAGCATAGATC